ATGGTTCAAAAGGGAACACAAGATTTGTTTATGGGTAAACTGACGATTCAAGAGAATATTCCAAAATTGTTCTGTTCAGGCTGGACAATAATAACTGATCATTCCTAGCTATGGGTGGTATTCCTTTGAGAGAGCTCACAACACAAGTGGGCAATTTCAGTAATTTGGATACTGAAGAATTTATTACTAGAGGATTTATTACTAGAATTGGTCTGATAATGACTGATGAGAGTGTGCAGGTGTAGGTTCATTAACATCTGGAGCAGAGATTTCTTATCAGGCAATGCTTTCCTTCCTTTTGGGTCCCAGAATTCAGAACAATTCTTGCTTTGGACTTTGTTTTCTATTCTGTATGCTAACAGATGCCTTTTGCATCTTTGATTCTCATGTGGGTAGAGAAGTTTGCAGATGGGTTTAGATGTGTCTTCTCTGGCCTTTTCATTGCATTTTGTAAGTCTTCTGTTCAGCTCTGGTTCAAGAAGACACGGAAGGGGGAAAGGTCTTTCATGAGTCAGTCAAGCTGAATACTATGTCCTGTTTCCCTAAGAACACAGAGCTGCTCGGTAACAATATGCCGAAAACAGGTGAGAAAATCTAAGACAGTCTTTTAGTATAACTTATCCTATATGTTGGAAAAGTTCGGCAAATAGGTTCTAGTTTAGTCTCCCCTCTGAATCTGATACACAGACGAGAAATACCTATTGTTGACATGAAAGAAGATTAATTTTAGAAGTTTATTGCTGCAGATAATTCTCCTACCAGTCAGATTGTTACAATCGTGCTGCAATCTCTCTCATGGCAAACTCCTTGTTGCATGTATATAGTGTCAGAGTGTCCATTTCCTACACCCACAAGCTAGCTCTGCTCTCATACACCACCTCGGATACTTAAAAGAGGGCAATATCAAGGAGGAGTAGGGAAGTCATGTACAAAGCATGTGTGTGACCATTACTGGAAAATGGAGTTCACATTTCAAAAAGAATGTTGGAAAATTAGAAAGGGACCAGAAAGGGGCTGCAAGAATTATTTGAGGTCTGGCCTAATAATGAAAGACTTTAAAAGCTCCATCTATTTAATTTATACCAGCAAAGTTTAAGAGATGATTTGATCATGGCCAGTAAGAACCTACATGGAGAAAATTTTTGCTCTCTTTAAATCTAGCAGAAAAAGTTGGAAGCTGATGCTAGACAAATTCAGACTAGTAATAAGGTAAACATTTTTTTACGAGGGTAATAATTAGCCACAGGAACGATTTATTTAGGGACATGGTGGATTCTACATCACCTGAAATCATTGCATTAGGACTTAAAATTACAGATTAACACTACCCCTCTAACAATGAGTAGTCCTGTGGCACCCTGTTTTGTCTCTAAGGTGCCACTGGACTACTTGTTTTTACATTAAGACTAGATACCTTTCTAAAAAATAGGCTATAGCTCAAACAAAAATGAGCTTGACAAAGAAATTACGGAATGAGATTCTTAGCCCTGCTACTGAAAATCTCCATCCTCTGCTCCCACCCCAATTCTATGTTGCAGCACAGTGTTAAGGAATTGCTCTGAATTGGTGACTATTTGAGTGCCTTAAGAATGATAGCTTTTAACAGGCCCTTCTATTCTGAAGCAATGTGAAACGGAGGTGACTTTGTTCTGCCTCAGTGCACAAACCTTAGAGTATTTTCTCAGAGTGGTACATGCACAAGCTTGTGAGTGAAGTAATGAAACATTACATTAGACGTGCTGTCTCATGCTTTCGGTCTCCCTTGAGCACCGCTGCTGCTATCTCCTTATTGCAAGCATGTGGCTTGTTGATTACTGTGTCTTAAATTAGATCTATGGACTGAAGACCTTGCTTAATGCACATAGACATGGGCACTGCTAATGCCCTCTCTACCTACCTGGGCCAGAGGAATGTGACCTCCAACCCCCAAGTGTCTTGATCAACACTCCAGAACTGTGATCCTAACAAACAATCTTTCAGAGAGCAAGGGGACTAGGCATGCTATGCCCTGATAGTGAGAGTGGCAAGTATGCCAAGGGCTCCATGTTTAATGCAAACGTGTGTAAATAAAGCAGGATTGTCCATCAATTGCTGTTCAGTTGCTATATAGCTAATTATGCTCCAGAATCATAGCATTCTTTAAAAAAGAAAAAAAAAGTCTCTTCCCTTATCTGGGTTGCATCAAAATACGAAGAGGTACAGTGGGGCCTGACTGAGTTTGCAGGCATGCTGATTCTACAGCCCTCATTCATGTAGTTCTTATTCATGGCCCAGGCGTGTTACCAGGAAAGTCTGATGACAACTTAAAATAGCAACTCTAACTATTTTGTTGTTGATCTTTTCAGCAGAAACGTCAAGTGAACATGCTTCTTGTTTGCTCTTGAATGTAGTGACAGATTGCTGCCAAGAGTGGTTTGATGAGTTGGGTGGGAAAAAGGGGGAAGGAAAAACTCAACTATCTCCTAGATGTAAACTCCCCCTTGTCATATAACTTCCCAGTTCCCCACTAGCACCTTCCATAATGCAGTTCTGTCCTGCAATTCAAACACCTAGCAGCAGAGAAAAATGTGGGGGCAGCACAACAACTTAATATAAAAATAAACAATCACAAAGGACGCTGAACTGATTGCATTGGATGTGGTAGGGGAAAGCAATGGGATCACAGTGCTATGTATATACAGTAAAACTCCAATAGTCCGGCACCCAATAGTCCGGCACTCCTGATAGTCCGGCATCAAAATGGCAAGAGCCTAGTGAATGAGCTTCGGCAAAAAATGAGTCACAAGGTAACAGCGGCAGCAGCTGAACCGAGCAAAAAGGGTAAAAAAGGGTTTAAAAAATTAAAACATCACAGTATACTGTATACAGTATGTACAATAAAAAGGGTTAAGAACACTTTATATACAGTATATAATGTATACAGTATATATATAACCAGTTTATAGTATCTCCTGATAGTCCGGCATATCTGATAATCTGGCATCACCTAGGTCCCATAGGTTCCGGATTATCGGAAGTCTACTGTACTAGGGTTCCTAACAAATAGTTAGGTCTAATAAGGTGCACAGGATACAGGGTAGTGGGTATGCTCCCACCTTTCAGAGACAGCACAGGGCATACAACAAGGCTAGGCTATGCCATAACCTGACAGAGACGGGTAAGCTGTGCACGCTCTTGCTACTGTCACAATATCCTTTGGGAGGTGTAAGTTTTACAGTGGTCCTGAGCATCACTGTTAGTTACTTCTCTGATACCATGAAGAAATAAGGGGCACAGACAGCATGTTATAAAATACCTTCATTGCCATGAGTTCTTGCATCAATACTGCATTTTCCAGATCTAGCCTCTGGCTGTCTCCACGAGGTTTGACATCATAACTAAGGGGATCAATATGGATGCTCTCCAGTTCCAACATGGTCAGCTTGACTGCTGCCCTGTCATTCTTCAGCTGCTGGATGTAATCCTTCAACCTCTGCTCATCCTCCTTTGTGAACTCTGTATCACAGCTACTTGCAGTTGAGCTGGTAGTGCTGGGAAGATCAAAAACAGCATCACTCATGGGGAGAAAGTTCAGGTCTCTAGCCTCCTCCTCCTCCTCTTTCCAATCCTCATTTCAACTTTGTTTTATTAACACTACACATCTAATTCACTCATGCATGTTTACACTCTCAGTTACCATAGAGTATAATTGTATCAGCATCATCATCAAACATTTACAGAGGACTGTAGTGCTAGCGTGAATGACCATTGTGACTTGTCTGTGACCTGCAGTGGTTTGGCGCTCCAGGACACCCCACCAGCTGACAGCTCCAGCCCTACTATCCCGGGGCTGAAGCAGAAAATATCACAGAGATGTCTGCAAGTCACGGAATCAATGACTTTCTTGACATACTCCTTTTCTTTACCAGGGTTGATGGTACTGCACCACGTAATGCTCAATCCCATAAATCCATGCATTTTTCAGGTGACTTTGCAGGGGGTGTTAGGCAGGGCTGAGGCATGTACCCCCTTTTCATGTTGATGGAGAGATTAAGAGCACTATGTGCTCATATGTTTTTGTCCTTCTTTTGACATGGCTGAGGAGTATGAAAACACTTTTGAATATAATGAGCAACAGAAGGAAGGCTAAAATGGCCAGCAGGATCCGTTGTGTATTAACAGTTTTACAGAAATATACTATAGGAATTAGCACCTTGGAAACTCCTATATTAGACAGTCCATTTTCAGTTTAGTCTGGACCATGTGTTGCAATATGCAGAACACAGACACAGACATCTGCAACTTTAAAATACAAAGAAGAATAAAATAGATTGTTCTTCAAACAAACAATAGAAAATATCACAATACCGAGTCAAATATTTCTTCATAGCAGAGCCAAGTAATTAGTTTTGTTAGAATACCTGCTTTTGGCACTAGACTTATAATTAAGTGCTTGTTGAATATGTCATGCTGGGAGCAACACAAACTAAAATCCTGTATCTACAGAGCTGATATAGCACAGGCAGCAACACAGAAAGTGTCTGCATGTCATGGCACTGTCTTTCAACTATTGGGACTGAATTTGAAACAATGACCAGCTACCCCAATGCTCATTTCCACAAGACATCCAAATCCCTCAACTTGGCGGTAGCTAAGTCATGTTTTACAGCACTTCTGCTAGAACACCATCACCTGACTTCATGGCAGCATTCTTTTTCCAAAGGTCGTTTCAAAAGAAAAACTGCCAGACAATTGTATTCGCTCCACACGTCACATAATGAAGAGCTTTCATAAAGGGAAAACAATTTCTAGATAAGGAGGGCGCCTCAATGCCCCATCTCCATCTATGTTCATTTCAGTGTTCTAGGGAGCAGAGATTTATGGAGGTTAATTGCAATGCTGCTTTAGTTCCTTAACATTCCACTGCTGAATATAATTGCAATAACAGTAAAAGGAAAAGAAATAGCACTGCCTTTTCTACAACCCTACGCAGACAAAGCTGCCTGCTGTCTCCTGAGGACCTGTAATCAGCTGCTGGGTGAGGGTTAAGTCATCCATTAACTGTGCCTGTCTGGAATGCTGGATGATCTCAGTTATCAGCAGGGGAATAAATCACATTCTGTATTGAGTAGCATTATTTTTCAGCATTTTTTTTAGAAGGAAAAAACCCCACTCTGTGGACTCCTGCTGGAGCCAGACTAATGTAATGGAAATACACTTGGCTTGCACACTTATGCACTGCAGAAAGAGAAGGAGGGGAAAACAGGTTGGTTTTCTCTGTTTTTTCTCAATTGTGCTTGTGCTCACTCTGTTGATTTTAAGTTGCATCAGATAATTGCCAGTGGATCTTTCAGTGGATTCCAAGCCCAGGGCAGCCTGAGAGGAAACAGAGAATTGGCAGGGCTACAAAGACTTCCTTAAGTCTTTTCCCCTCATGAAATATCACGTTACATGGCTTTACTACAGCATTCTGCTAATTTCATATGATTTCGTCTCTCTCTTAGGGATAACAGGCGCCGTGTTTACTAGAAGTGAAAACCACTTTTTTCAGCTACTAATTCCCATCTGCAGTAAATCAGAAATCAGCTGGCCCATCTTAGGTAAAAATACATGCAGGTTTTAATGAGGTCTCCATAATACTCTGCTTTTCATCAGAAGATCTCAAAGCTTGTTATTTAATGAGGTCTCACTAGACAGCTATGGATGTGAACATCAGGAAATACAACAAAATTAGTATTCAATTCTATATTCGAGTGATGCTGTAGATCTCTAAGACTTGCAAAATAAAAAGATCTCCAAACTTACGGGGGAGACACACACACACACACACACACACACACACACACACACACACACACACACTCCTCCCTCCCTCGGACAGCATTTAGGGTTCACACAACCTGCACATCCTCACAATTTTAGTCAATGTTAACCTTCACTTTTGTTTACAGAGAAAAATATGCTCCTTGCTCTCTTTGCTAGAAAGAAAGAGAGCCCTCAGAATGAAAACTGAGCACTGCCCTGTAAATCTGCTAGGAGGACTATTCCTCAAGAGCCCCAAGTATTTACCATACCAGCCACAGCTGCACAGAACTGACCTTTCAGGTCCACAGCTGTAGGTCTCTCCAGTTTTTGGCAACTAAGCCACAGCTGTGGAAAGCAACAGCAACTCAGGTTTCTGCCAATGGTGCTAGAGCTGTCTTTAGTTCAGCCCTGGCTGCTTGCTTGCAACTGAGCTGGCTCCTCTGCTGAAGTACTAGTGAGGCCTCTGGTTACAAGGTGAGGAATTAATGGAGGAGCTGTCTGAATTACAGGCAGCAAGTACAAAGAGGACAGAAGAGAAAGAGAACTGCCCTTTGTCCCCCAATCTTGGTGCCTGAATCCCTCCCACCCACTGAGAGAGATGAGGCAGAGGCAATATATGGGCAGCAGAGGAAAAGGATATATAGCCTTTTCCCCTACTCAAGAGGCATAGACAGGCCCCAATGCCTACCTTTCCCCCTCCTGAATTGTGGAGAAGACATTCAGTGTGTGAGATGGCATGGCTAAGTGCTGAAACAATGCCGTGATACATTTGTGATACTGGATTATGATGCCACATGAGGCTCCTCCAAACACACTTTGATGGCTCTCACAAAAATCTTCAGGCCAGACCTACTTCCTCAGAGAGAAACATCTCAGGCTAGAGATACTGTGTAATGCTGAATTTGCCAGACTCTTCTGGCTATGTCTACAGCTGTTCTTGCGCAAAAACTTGCGAAGCGTCTACACTGCATGTGTGTTCTTACGCAAGTAAACTTACAGTAGAGTGTCGGAAAAGAGGGCTTCTTACACAAGAGTTATTCCTCTCCCCACGAGGAATAAGCCCTCTTGCACAAGAAGGCAGTGTGGATGGGCAACAGGGGTTGCTTGAGCAAGAAATCCTTATGGCTAAAATGTCCATCAGAGCTTTCTTGCACAAGAGAGCGTCCACACTGCCATAGATGCTCTTGCGCAAAAGCGCATCTCTTGTGCAAAAGCTCATGCCAGTATAGACGTGCTCTTGGGCAAGAATTTTTGCACAAGAACTCTTGCGCAAAACAGTTCTTGCACAAGAAGCCTGCAGTGTAGACATTGCCCCTCTATGTTTTCTGATGGAAAATCAGGATAATATGCATGAGGCTTCCTAGGTGAACTGAACAGGCAGCATGTCACAAACAGAAAAAATAACCAGATACATGATATGTCTTTCATTTCTCTAACATACAGGTAGGAGGAAAATATGAAACTCCCTCATAACTCTTGAGCCCGCTCCCTTCATCATTGACATCTGAAAGATTTCTGAATGATGCCCAATTAATTTGTATATACATTTTCTGTAGAGGTTACATGGTGTAATATTAAAAGGTGTACACATATATCTGCACACACACTACACGTGTATATACACACCTATATTTGAGAGAAAGTTTGTGAGTCTGTCTGTCCATTTCTCTGTTTGTCCTCCTAAATGGTAAGAGATAGGACCACCAAATTTGGTATACAGCTTCCACTTATAACTTAAAGCAAGGTCAGGGTTTGATTGTGCCAGGAAAATGGGATGTGCCTGGAATGAGATTGCTTCTCATAAACCACACAGAAAAGAGACAGAATCACCAGGCAGGTGAAAAGGGCTGGCTGGGTATGTGGCCCCCCCCACTCTATCCGGGACTACCCCAGGCACAAGCCTCCCAACCTCCTGATGCTCTTTAGGGAGGGCAGGAACGGGGGCCTGAAGATTTTCCCCCACCCAATTAGTACAGTAACATTGCTAGCCGTTCCCCTTCGTCAGTGAGCAAGGGGAAAGCGTACAGTGTGTTCCCTTCCTCACTCTGGCTGGGCAGCACCTTCACTCAGACCAGTAGAATTTGAACAAACAGTATATTGGGCTATAATTTCAAACACATTGGCAAAAACCACCTCCCTCCTTAGGAAATCTGTTTGCTCTATGTTGAACTGTGATACTGAGAGCATGCCGCACACTTCGGGATTTGGAAGCATTAACATGATTCCTTATCAACATTTCCACCTTTCAGCCAACATAATCCTTTATTTCAGCTACTTATCCAAAATCCATGAGGTGGTTCTGATAGGCAGATTTAGCACTCGGTTTGGATAAGTTCAGATGGTAAGCAGTAAAACATGTAGAAATGCATTCCCTTTGCACGCAATGGGACATACTGTCCCTCCTGCACCTTTGTGGAAGGTTGCAGTTACTAGCAGTGCGATGAATACAAAACAGCAGTCTTAGTCATTCCACAGCAGCAATCTCCATCTCTCTCTTTTGTTTAATTCTTTTTACAGGTGCAATCAGTTGGATCTTCTTAGAAATGAATGCTCCTCTATCCATTAAAACAATTACGACTTCCAAAAAGCTATTTTTATTTTCAAAAATAAATTGGCAATATAGTTGGGTGGCTGCCAACCAAATACATTGAGATGATAGCTATTATTTTATTCACTTCGCTGGTAACAACCTCTATGCTGGTTTTTCATTTCATCTCAGATGCTCCCTTTTACAATCTTTAACCCC